CACACACACACACACACACACACACGGGGAAGAGCTGGACTTTGGCAGTTCTTGTTTTTTTCTGGACTGATGGAACAACTAATTTCCAACCGTTTTCTCTAGTAACGGTTAACTATGAGATAACCTGTCACAGTCAAGATGCTCAAAACCGTGAAGAAAAGCTGAATCCTAAACCTCTGAAACAACTGAAACCCATTTACTAAAAATGAATTTTCTGATGTTTAAAACATTGGCAAGTGCAAAACTCACCACTGCTGGACTGAGGTGTTGTGGGTGGTTGCCAGGGCATTTTGTGTGGTTACTAGGAGGTTGCTAGAGTGTTCTGGGTGGTTACCAGGAGGTTGCTAGATGTATACATAGGCAATTTTTGTGGTTACTAGGAGGTTGCTAGAGTGTTTTGGGTGATTGCCAAGAGGTTGCTTGGCATTTTTGGTGTTACTAGGGGGTTGCTAGGTGGTTGCTAAGGCAAATTGTGTGGTTGCTAGGAGGTTCCTGGGCATTTTTGGGGTTACTATGGGGTTGCTAGAGTGTTCTGGGCAGTACTAGGAGGTTGCTAGGGCATTGGTGTGGTTACTAGGGGGTTGCTAGGCTGGCTGAGGAACATTAACGTAGAATGATGTGTGTGTGTGTGTGTGTGTTCACCTCATACTGAGTGATGATGCCGAAGGTCTGCGCCGGTTCTCTCCACTTCAGCAGGATCTTGTCCTCGTACACACTGGCTTGGATCGAATCCAGAGGAACTTCCCCCGGCACTGACAGGAAGTGACATCACAAACGATCAAAACACAGCAACAGCAGCAGCTCTTAATATACATACGACATTCTCCGTAGCTTTACTATTTAGTTAGATTTAACAAACGTTAAATGGATGTTCGGCAGCTAAAATGTCTCAAAGTTACCGGTTCATACTGAAAAGTTCAATATTTTCCATTGGTATTAATAAGTGAAGGTGTTTTATTACTAAAATGAGAACAAATGTTGGTTTTGAATCCTTAAATCCACAGAAATGCACACAATCCCCTCAGACGCACACGTTCTCTTACTCCAAACACGTCCGTGAGCGTGCGGGAGATTGTTTCTCGTTTGTTTCTCGTTTCATCCTCTCGCAGGAACGTTATTCACGTCTGTTTCACTTGACACAGACTCGGAGCGAGAACAAAAGAGCGCGTGTGTGTGTTTAACATCCAGTCGAGAAGCGGCCCAGGTGTCTAATTATTTATAAAGGTTGCCGATCTCTGGAAACAAACAAAAAAAAAAATCACGTTTATTCCCTCAGAAGTGCTCTGCTAATGGGGGACGTAATTAGACATTCAAGCTAAATGTCAGCGATTTACGAAAGATGCAGCGGAGCATTTGAGCAGCTCGTTCACGGATAGAACGAACTCTTCATCTGTATACAGACACATTACAGTGCTGAGGATGGTTCTTCAGATTTAGCAAAGAAGCCTCTTCTGATCAAGAACCTTTTGTGTCTGTTTCAGGTTAATGAGGTGCTATATGGTTCTCTGTGGATTAATAAAGTCAATAAAATAAAGTCTTGATGTTTCAGAGGATCTTCAGATCAGTGGTTTTTGGGACGTAGAGGCTTATCTAAAGAACTAGAGAACAGAAAGCTGATAAAAATGGGTAAATGGGTCTTGGTCATATTTTACATTACAAAAAACACTCAAATTACATAAATATATACAATTTATTTTTTTTAAAGTCACAAAAATTATACATAAAATTACTTACGAATGTATTTATTTGGAATATATAGACTAAAAATATATATACTTTTTAGAGTAAAACTAATGTATATATAATGTATGCAAGTAATATGTATATCAGTGTTATTTATATATTTTAATTTAAACCTTTGTTGTGTTTGTAATTTTTAGTAGATTTTTATGTCTATATAGTTTATTTCAGTTTTAGTTTTTAATTTTTATTCTTTTTTTTTTTTGCGTGTATTTGAGATTTTTAGTTTTTTTTACATGTCTATTAGCGGTGTAACGATACACGTATTCGTATTGAACCGTTCGGTACGAGGCTTTCGGTTCGGTGCGCATTACAAACCGAACGATTCGTTGGACTAATCCTATTACATTTGGAAAATAAAACAGCTTAAAGTGTGTGAAATATAATGTTCTCAGTGCCACTGCGCTCAACAAGGAGCCTAAACGACGTAACAGGCAACATGCTGTCTGCCCCGCGATAACCTCCTCTTGCTGGGATGCGTCTAAAGACAACGATCTTGTATCGACGATATCCAGAGATATTGTCAAAAACAGCAATTATTGGCTACATCCAATTAATGTAGGCATGTTACATTCTTATTTTTATTAGGCCTATTATTATTATTATTATGAAGTTACTTTTATTATTAAATTAAGATTATACAATTAATTTGCCCCGCAATAATTACCAAATAACTGATGTGCTGCGAGGATAACAAAAGATTAGGCTATATATTTCTCCTCAATTAAAATGTTTTTAAAAAAGGTATTTTAAAACAGGTCTATACAATGAAATATAGGCCTATGATTAAAATATGAACACTTCCGTCATCAATAAAAATCAATGAAATAAAAAGCTGTTATTTCAAGCACCGACTTTCAAAAACAGCCTGTTTAACACGAAATATGTTTCTTCTCATTTTTTTTCACTATGTAGTATTAGAAATAGTTATGTACCGTTATCAGCATATGTTGAAGTAGATTCGTCTCGTTGTCTCTGAGAGAACATGCGGCGTCAGATGCAGAAAGCTCCGTCATTACACCCTCATTCCGTTTTTACTTTCACTTTCTGCATATAGTGAATTGACTGACATTAAGACGTTCACTGGTGTAACTCTTGCGCAAAGTTTGCACGTTGCTTTTGTGTGATATCCATTGGCTCGCCTTCATGGTTTAAAACAGAAAAATGTCCAACATTGCGACATAACCAATTACCCCCCACCATCCGGATCGAAAATGTACCGAACCGTGACACCAGTGTGTCCTATCGAACCGAACCGTGAATTTTGTGAACCGTTACACCCCTAATGTCTATATAGTGTTTATTAATTGTATTACATATATTATATTATATATTACATACAATAACTGTTTTATATACAGTTTTAGTTATTTAAGAACATCTAGTTAAACCATATTAGAAATATTGCCTTGGCAAATAGCTTAAATAAAACGTTAATTTTATTTTATTTTATTTTATTTTATTTTAAGGCATAATAATATAATTATTTTAATTTCAAATAACAAAAATGTTTAGTTTTTTAATTGTTAATATTCACCAAATCAGTATATTACAATAAGCCAAACCCTTTATGTATATGTATATGTATATATAT